GAGGGCAGTGTCACTGGCCCTCATATGTGGGATCCGAACCGGGGCCCTCTGGCATCCCAAGCGAGTTCTTAACCATCGCGCCACTCGGCCGGCCTAAAACCTTTTTTTATTTACTTTTTTTGAAGCAAAATGTTCAAATAGAAAAGTGAGTACAATGTATATAGCCCAGTGGATTTTCACAGTCAATACCCCTATGGACCCAATGTAATTTTAAAAAATTAAATGATCTTTAAAATACCTCCGCCCACCCCCCCACACACACACATACACCTATACACAAATGGAAACCACCAAGTCTTAAATGTGCAAAACCTGGCTCTGTCCTAAAAGTATATCCTAAAATTTAGGATATGCTCACAGTGCTCCAGTGATCTTTCTGTACTATTCTGATTTAAGGCATTAAGGCATTTTCTCTGTCCTAGTCCAAGTTCAAAATGGAGGTAAGTTTCATTGCTAAGTAGAGTGAGGCATCATATCAACAAGCATGGTTTTTCTGTGATAGCTTTCTAACTTTGAAGTAGAGAAATAAATTTGGTGATTCACCTTGAGCCCAACACACAAAACGGTTGGTTTAACTTCGGTTAAAACTTTAAAAAAAAATTCTTTTTCAAGATTTGTGAATATATAGAAAGCTAAAAATACATCGATCAATTCCTCTCTTCAGTATTTTGTTAGGTTCTATCTAGGCTGATCTTTTAATTTTGATATGACTCAGCCACAGTCATTAATCAATAGTTTTTGAATTCGTAGCTAAGCAGAAAAAATGTTTAGTGTTTTTACATGTAGAACTGATAGCTCCCATTACAAGAGTGCACTGAATATGGTATAAGCCAGACGTGGTTCTGGGTGCTGGACATGGAGCAGAAACAGACATAGCTTCCTAGAGCTTAGGATCTGGTGGATGGTCAAGGCCGGGAGACTGACAATGACAGTTGGTTATGCCACATGCAGGACAGGTCGCAGGGGGAGCACACAGGACGCCCACCTAATTCAGAGGTCATGGAAAGTTTCCCCAAGGGAGATCGGAAGCTGCAGCTCCCTATCTCTTTCTGTACATTTTCAGCAGGTCACCTGTGATATTCCCAGGGACTCCAGTCAAAGGGAAGGGGTGGGGGAAAGAAAAGAAGGCTTGTTCTTGGTCCCAGTCTAGAGGTTCTTCAGATGTTTGAACCCGTGCCAAGGGAAGTCTGAACAACACGGGAACCTGAGGAAGGTGAGCAAGGGAACCGCACAGCTCAAGTTTGCTTCAACAAACTTGAAGCCTGGTCAACAGCTTCCCTAACTGGGTTCTGGGAATAGGCGGGATCGCAGGACGGACTGATCAAGTGTTACCTGTTCTTTCACTTTAAGAGTCTGCCTGCTTGGGAGTTTAGAGTTTCCAGGGTAAAGAGCTACTCAGTTGGGTGGGATTTGCCTCCTCACTTTAATTCCCCCCAGATTATAAATATCACAAGGCCAACATCTGTCTGCATTATTCCCTCCCCTGCCCAGGCCCAAGGTTTCCAGAACAGCAGACAGCCAATATTGGAAGGAATATATGGGGCCATCTAATTCCAAATGGAGAAGGATATATATGTGGGTAAATAGTAATACCCCTTTCTGGATGGAATCCAGTTATAGAAGTAGGTAGGTGGTCACCAGAGTGCCAGGTCCAGTCTGGAAACAGCTGTAGTCATACTGACCACAGTGATGATGACAATGGCACTTTCTACTGATACACTAACGCCTCTTTAAGTAGGCATTCCATTTGTGACTGTCCTAATTATCTGTTGAACTTGAAGATGCGATAAACTGCTTACTAGACATACTTAACTATTTGTGGTACAGGCACACCTCAGAGATATTGTGGGGTTGGTCCAGACACCGCAGTAAAGCGAGTCGCGGCCTGTTTGCTGGTGGAGTGTCTTGCCTCCAATTTGTAAGAAACGCATCTGTGCAGTGCATTAAAGAGCAGGATGCCGGTAATTTAGTCAAGGTGATTTGGAATGTATACATTTAAGCGTAGGCTAAGCAGATCATTAACATACATAAATAAATGTTTACTAATTTTTAGAACTTTCAAATGTCATTTTAAGACTTGAGTTTAGGTTTTATTTATCTGTTTCATCAAGTATTTACAAAAATCTCTAAAGAAATGAATTTTTCCTTGTGTCAGTGTATATACTTGGAATCTCAGCTCACCTTCAGACCTTTTTAATTGAGGTATATTTGTGGATAATCCAATCTCTTATTTGTGAATAAGACTTTTGATTCATTGAAGTGGTCTTCCCCCCAAATTTAATTTTGTAGCATTCTTGGTTACTCATACTTACATATTTGGCTCTTTCCTAGGTAAGTGGAGGTATACTTCGAATTTTTCCAGAAGGCAAAGCCCAGTTTGCTGACATTGAACCCAAATTTGATAGACTGCTGTTTTTCTGGTCTGACCGTCGCAACCCTCATGAAGTACAACCAGCATATGCTACAAGGTAGTATTCCTTTTAAGACACAATTGGTAAAAGGTATGGTAGGACAGAGGGGACAGATAGGATAAACTTGCAAGTTTTCTAATGAGTATCTAGCTATTCTTCAGTTACCTTTATCATAATGCTTAGTTCCAACTTTTAACTTGAGTGATTTTGTAAGATTTATTACCAGTTATTACCAAGTGTGACTTTCTTTGCACAGCCACTCTTTGTTTGGGGTAAGAAATGGAAGTACAGGCCCTCTCCTCTTGCCAACCTGCCTCCTTGTTTAGTGCATCTCTTAACTACTGTCCATTCTATGATTTTGTGAGAGTACAGTTGACCCTTGACCAGTGTGGGGGTCACGGGCACTGAGCCTTTGCACAGCCAAACCCGAGGCTAACTTCTGACTCCCCAAAAGCTTACCTACTAAGTAGACCAGAAGCCGTACCAATGACAGAGTCAATTAACACATCTTTTGTTTGTAATATGTATTTATACTATATTCTTACAATAAAGTCAGCTAGAGAAAAAAATATTAAGAAAATCATAAGGGAGAGAAAATACATTTATGGTAGTTATTGAGAAAAATTTGCATATAAGTGGACCCACTCACTTCAAACCTGTGTTGTTCAAGGGTCAGCTGTATTCACCTGGAATAGAAAGTTTAGATAGAGAAGGAAAAGGGCAGCTTTTTAAAAGGTGGTAAGGGGAAGAAAGGAGAAGGATGATGTAGAAAAATGATACAGAATAGAAGACTAAGAGGTAACCAGAGAGTGAGTAGAAGTGAAGAGAAAAAAGAATGGAGGAAAGAAAAGAAGAAAAAAAGTTGCCATGTGTTGGAATTAATGTTAGAAAAGTAACCCTTTAGTTTTAGTAATAAGCATCTCTTTTTCTACATTATACCCTTTTTCTACAAGGTTAATATTCTAAACCTATTATGTTTAATGTAGTCTTTAAAATATTTTTTACCATTTACCATGACTCAATTAAAATGTTAAGACTGTTAAAATGGAAGATGTTGTAGACATTGTTATAAAAATAAATATTTGTAGAAAAAGAGCACTATTTTTTAAATACCTATTTTTCATTATAGACAGGACTTGGAATATTATGATAGTGAATTACTAGCATGCAATTGCTTAGATCTTGTGAGAAGAGGCATACCCCCCAGACACACTGGGACAAGAGTTGGCTTTTTATTATGTTAAGAGGCCAGCCTTTGATGAAGTTCAAGAGCTAAAGACTTTGTTGTCTGTCGTCTCTTCCTTTTTTCTTGCTTCTTTCTGAGCCATGTTGCTGCCAGCCCTAATCACATAAGTGAGGATGCAAGCTGAGCCGTCTGGGGCTAGAGATCACAGGAAGCCGAGAACGGAGACCGGGGGTCCTGGCACGTCCCACCATGTGCCAGCCTCAGTCTCCGTCTCTCCTCCTCGCACCCCAGGGCCCATCTCTGCCGCGCTTCTTTTTTAGAATCTTTTCTGACCTACACACCACTTCTGAGACCTTGTATATGAAATCTTGAGTATGGTATGCTTGTATCCTTTGTAGATAAAGAGGTAACCAACGCTTTTAAGTAGTAAATGCACAGTGTTAATGGAGGATAAACACTAGAGGAGTTCGGAGGAGGGAGAAAGTGGTATTGGAATAGTTGGGTCAGGTGTCACAGGGAAGCTAGCTCAGCTGGACCTAGATTGACGAGAAGCAAGGAGTGTGGTGATGTCCGTAAAGCCTTGGGAGAACGGGGCCCGCCTGTCCCAGGTCAGCTCCTGAAGTAGATCAGTGGGGAGATAAGAGGGAAAAACAGAAGGACACGTGGTAATTTACACTTGTTTTCTGGTAAGGCCTTAGGGCTCAGGGGAGGTGACCCAGATATGTAGAACTCTGGTTACTAAGTAAAAGTTTGGGGCATGGGCAGAAGAGATATAACATTATATATCTGTGCACCTTTCCTGTTAACACGCCACCTGGAAAAATAGAAGAATCCAGATGGTGAGAAAGGGGCCGGAGCTCTAGAAAGAGCAGAATCCTGAAGTCAGGATGCTGGACTGTGACCTCAGCTCTGTCACTCACCAGCTAGGTGGTCTGTGGGCCTCGGTTTCTCCAGTTGTGCAACCCCTCCCCCCAATTCTGACTCTACTCTGCCTTTGACTCTTCAAGTATTTTACATGAGTTGGTGCTGTCACGCCACTGGCTCTTCATGTGATCAGTGTTGTTTTTCCCCTAGTGAACACTGGCTAGAACCGGCAAGATGCTCTAACCTCTGTGCCCTGCTAAAGAATGGACGGGAATGGACAATTTGTAGCTTTCATTTCCTGTAGTGTGTGCACTTTCCCCACTATTGGTACCAAAAGGTGTAACCGTGTGCTTTAAGTATTTAATAAGCCAGAGAGTCCTCATTTGTGGAATGAGATATTCCAGATAAATAAAATTTTCAGAAAAATGCAGTTTAGCTAAACTGTATGTCAAAACATAGTATAATTATTTTGATAAAAATCCAAAAATAATTTTTAACATAATTTAAATTTTTCTTGATGACTCAAGGTTATAAACTTGTAAACAACCATCATGATTCTTTGCTGTGATATAATGCTATCCTCCGAAGCTGAGACTGTTAGTGCTTCCTGTCACTAAAGAGCCCCAGGCCTGGGTCCCTGTCTCTCTTCTCTTCTTTTAGAAGTTATGCTGCTGATAGTGTGCTTTTTCTGTAACAGCCATTCTTTTTCCTTCTTAGTGTCTGTTTCTGATCTGCTATGGGCTTGCAAAACAGGTAATCAAGTAGGTTACGTAGGTATTAAGAAAGTCATAGAAACACCAACTCTGCGACACCAGTTGTAGCTGCTTCTGGTTCCGTTCTACTCCTGAGCACTGAGGTTACTGGCTGAGCGGGTTGTTACGGGGCGTTCAGCCTCTGCTAACATTCCGACTGAGACATTATTTTGACATTACACTTTTGATAGACCATTGCAACAGCATACCACGTTTTTCCCCCAGTGTGATCATTCTTACCCTATTCTAAATTTTCTTTTAGGTACGCAATAACTGTTTGGTATTTTGATGCAGATGAGAGAGCACGAGCTAAAGTAAAATACCTAACAGGTAAACGTTCGGGGCCACGGTACACTGGAAGGCAGCGTCGCAGCCAGGCGCCGAGCCGTGAGGCTCACTCCTTGCTTTTGTCAGGTTCCTTCACCCCCCCGTTTAACAGAGGACTTCTCTTAAGGCATCTTCATTGTTGTCTTGACCCAACAAAGTTGTCCAAAGATTAGGAAAGTCTGAGAAAATTATTCAGAGACAAGTTGAGTTTTCTTTCCTGTAATTATCCTTTCCAAGCACAGGCTGCTGATCGTGGTAACCGCCATCTGGCTTCCTCTCATCCCCCTGAGAAGGAAGTTAATAGCTTTTCCTTTTTAAACGTACATGCTCTAAAGAATAGCCAGGTCTCCCACGTTGAATGTGGACAGAAAAAAATTGATACAAAAGAGATGAGATGCCAAAATGAGTAAATGAGACAGGCCTGTAAAGGCCGTGTGTGCCAGCGGCATCTATGCAGAGGGCAGCGCACTTGCCCTACACCTGGGTCAGACCCTTCAGTGTGCAGCCCGGCCGCGCCCCTCCCCTCCCCACTGGGACTGTCTCCTAGAGCCGTGGGCTTAGTGTCTCCATCTGGTGGACACTTAACCGTCTTTTTAACCTGCCTTATAGTTCCACAAATGCTCAGTGTTCACATCACTGATTAGCTAGCTCCACTTTCAAGAGCCCTGATAGTCTCACATCAGCATTTTATAAAACTATAAAAACTGGATGTTCATATATTTTCTGTGTATTTTTAAAGTCATCTGTATCAGAAGCTTCGTAGTGTGCTTTTAGTGACCCTGAACACACTACTGTTTTATAGCAATTCCAATTGTTTTTCAAATAAAAAGGCATTCGTTATGTCTGTGCAGAGAGTGGGTTTTCCCTTCGAAGGTTTCCTAGTGCAGAATGACACGCCGTCCTCACAGCGCCAAGGCGGCCTGTGGAGGCGCAGGTGGGCTAGTTTCCAGACCGTGGACCTTTGCGAGTTGAACCCTTATGCTACCTACTGTTAGGGACTCAGTGGGAAGCAGTGAAAGCTCTCTGTTGCTTAATGAATGAATGAATGTTTTGTTGTTTTTTTTCTTTTACCTTGCAGGTGAAAAAGGTGTGAGGGTTGAACTAAATAAACCTTCTGATTCAATCAGTAAAGACGTCTTATAGAGACTTTGATCCAGCAATACCCCTACAATTCACCTACAATAATTGTTGATGCTGTTTGTTAACTTGTGACTACAAATAAATGGGATAAAGAAAAATAGACAAACAGTGGCATTTTAATAAGGAAACAGAAACACCTTTTTGTGTTGCACCAGAAAGAAGATTTTGACTGTATGGCTTTGTGCTGCATGGCTGACTCCAGACCCCTGATTGCTTATGGGAAGAATATAAGCTATCAACTGAAAAATGGTATTTACATCTGGACATGAAGAAAGTGCCCTAGGTAGAATGTTTTTCACTCTTATATTTTGCCAGATCTGTCATCTAGCCGAGTTCATTTCATCTCTCCCTTTTTTATACAGTCAAGTTTGAATTTGAAGTAATTTTTGTATGATCAGGTACAATTTATCAAAACTGAATTAAGAAAAATTACAGTATTATTCCCCCAAATAGCACCAATCTATTTTTGTAAACCTCTTCGTACTATTAAATCTTGCCCTAAAAGACCTCTTCTAACGATTGTTGCCAGTGACTGATGATTAATTTTCTTTTTACTTAAAATAAGGAGCACTTTAATTACCAACTGAAAAATCAGACTGTTTTGTAGTCGTGTCTTACACAAATTTGAACTCTTGTTAAAGATTGCTGCTGTTGCTTTTTTTGACATTGTTAGTAATGAAACATAACAGTAAAACCATCACCATTTACTACCAATAACTTTTAATACATGTTTTATAAGAAAAAAATACAGAGTAAGAAGGTTTTTATCTTTTAAGTTAAATTTTTTAAAAACCACAGTGACTGGCACTAAATGAACTTGAGGTTCTCCCCAGCGTCAAGTTCCCGCGATAAAGGGCTTTCTCGAGCGTTCAGGTGCACGCTATAGATGTAGAAGACAATGTCCCATCCCTAAGACTTTTCCTTTTGCTTCCTGTCAAGTTCATGGCACTTCCAATTTTGCTGTAATGTTTTCCTCCTCGTGGGACCCATGTGACCTGCAGGCCAGAACCTTGTTTCTATTGGATAGCCTGGAGGGCACCTGCGTGTCCAGACGGACCTGTGTGTCCAAACGTACTGTTAGTGACCCCCAGACCGCGGCGGAGGCGTTGCCCACGCGATGCGGGCCTCTGTCATACTGAAAGGTGTATGTTTGGCTTACAAAACAGACAAAGCAAAAAATAAGATAATTTTATTTTTATGTTTTATGAGTTGTTTTTTTTTACTTCTGAGAAAAAGAGGGAATATTACAAAATCACACCAGGCCTCCCAGACTTCCGTTATCTTATGTATGAATTGGGACGGGTGTCGTAAGCTCCAGTCCCCTGGCAAAGTGAAAGGGCGGGTTGGTGTCCTGCGTGCACTGTGGGTGTAAGACCTTGCTCGCTGCACTTTCTATCTCTGTCCTTGGTCTTTGCCAAAATAATGTGAGTGTACAGAAATACTTCTGTATATTTCACCTTAACGACACTTTCAGCATTTGTATAGTTTGTATTCAATTAGAGACCTTTTCTATGGAAAGCTCAGTAATTTTTATTAAAAGATTGCTATTGTTCATGTAAAACATGAAAAAAATTGTTTCGTGAAACTGACAGAGTGACTTAGGGTGGGATGAAATAGCATTGTCATCTCACTTAGGAGAACTTGCAGGAGAAAAATTAGTTGATTGTTTTCCTCGCCCGTGTTCGGTTCTGTCCCGCCTCCTGTCCTCGTCCCAGAGAACACAGCAGAACACCTCTACAATAAGTGCCTCTGCTGGCCTGACTAGGAGTGCGAGCTGCCCTTGCCCTCTGTCTGCAGTGCGCAGTGCTGCGCTCGCCACACTCAGAAGCGCTGTCACTTTCAAGTCTAGTAGAAATTGTATCGTGTTGATAGGAGATTTGTCTGATGGTCAGGTCAGGGTGTACAGCCACAGCCTTGTAATCTGGGAGCCCCGTGTCACTCAGGTGTGCGTCTCTGCAGCTGTGTGAAGTGTCAGACTGCTCTCTGGGGGTTGTGCAGCCCCACAGGTCTCATGTTCTGTATTTTTTGGAAAAGTTTATATAATCCCTTGGAGATCATTGTGAAAGGATCAAGAAATGAGGATAGCCATTTCTTTAATATCCGTTTAAAATCTGTTAATTTCATGTTAGTGGGACCGTTAACTTGTCACCAAGCAGGACTCTATTTAAAACAAAATTTAAAATTATTTGTGGCCGATATGTGTTTAATCCTAAAGGTAAAGCTTCTAATGCTGTTTTTATTCAACACATTAACCAGCTGTAAAACACAGACCTCTATCAACAGCAGGCAAAGAATTTCAGGATTCATAAACAGACATAAGGTCATGTCATTTGAAAAGCAGTGTTTCATTATGAAAGAGCTCTCAAGTTGCTTGTAAAGCTAATCTAATTAAAACGATGTATAAATGTTCTTGAAAAAATGATGGTGGTTATTTCCAGCTGTCTTTTTTTGTTTTTTAATCCTTTATCGTATCCTGACTTTCTTAATGGGCCCTTCCATCAGATAATGTGCTTTTCTCTCACACATCCCTGGCTTAGTCCAGGATGGTTGGTATTACTTTTCATAAATGATAACAAGGGAAAGAGAGAACAGTAACCACAGGAGTCCGGCCACGCTCGAGACATCCTGGGGATGACTGGACTGCCCCTGGGGTCCAGGAGCTCTGAGTTAGCGTTCTCACCATTTGCATTGTGTCCCTTTTCCAAGGAGTTTAAAAACTGCTCAACACTGGTGCTGTTGCGCATGTCTGTATCACCCAATGGCTGCAAAAAGGAAGGGGCATTAGACATTTATCTCGGTTGTCACAGGTGTCCTACTGTGTACACAGAAAGTTTAATTTGTGTGGTTATAGACTAAACTATGTAAGAGCTCTTATAATGTGAGATCAAATGTACATGTTTGTTCATCTCTTATTTAAATATTTTTTTCATAGTGTGGTGGTTTTGTTATTTTCCAGCCTATCTTAGGGCATTTGGAAAACTGTACTGAAATATAGCTGGGTGAATTGAAGGAGAGGGCAAACAAGTTAGAGATGAAGACTAATTAAATTAAGTAGTGTAGTAAAAAGCGCACAGAATTGACAGATCTGTTTAGTTCTGGCTCAGCTACCTCATTGTGTAACCTTCGCAGCCTTTTTCATCTGAAAAGAAGCACAGTGGCTCCAGACTTAAAAGTTAGTTGTGTGAGACCGGAATGAAGTACAGGTTTCCCAAGATGCACCTGGTCCAGGAATGAGCGGTGCCGGCCATGGAGCGCCCTGCCCCGATGCATGTTTGTACCACACCACATATTCAATAATATAATTGTTCATCGCCTTGTTTTCAGTTGTTTGTAAACATTCAGAAGTGAATACCCATTGTATTACTTCAAGGACAGCTTTCTGGACATCTGAGGTCAGGGATTTGGTTTTAATGCGGGTTCTTTTCTTGATCACCAGTGAATAAATTTCACCTGAAATATGCAGTACTCAAGGACATACCATTGGAGCGATGATAGGTATAAAGGGCATGGCTTTACGAGCTGGAAAGACTTTCATAAGAAGTAAACACTTAAATCTAAGCCATGCACCAGGCAGGAGAGCCTACACAGCTGCAGGCAGCTGAAGCTTCCATTGAATGGGTGATATTTTAACTGACCAAGGTGGCCTAAAGGTTATTGGATTAGGTCTCCTTTTCATTGAGATTGACTTTTTTTGCCAAAATTACTATATTTCTATGGTGTTCTATAAAACACCTTTACACTTTTTCTCAGAACACACAGAGTAGGCAGAGCAAACGTTACCCTCATTTATAATTGAACCTGAATCAGAGAAACAGCTTGTTCACATTCGTGCTGGAGAGTTCGGGAGCCAGGACTTGAACACAGGCTTTCCTTAATTTTGTTAAGTCACAGTTAGACGTGCACGTGGGGCAGTCATTGACTTCTGTAGGCTTGTTAGGGAAAGAGCTCCTCACCTGCCTCCCCCTGGGAACAAATTTTAACCCTTGTGATTCTTTGGGTAGTTCCCCAGTTAGTTGTAAATAACGTATCGTATTTCCCCATGTATAAGACGCACTCCTTTTCAAAAAATTTGGGGTCTAAAAACTGGGTGGTTGTATGAGCACAAAAAAAGCGGGAAGTACAAGTAAAAAAATCTACAGCCACTGTATGAGACGCACCCAATTTTTAGACCCCAAATTTTTTCAAAACAGGGTGCATCTTATACATGGGGAAATACGGTCATTACATCGCTACATCTTGGTTTTTCAGTGTTCGACATGATTTCAAACTTTCCAACACGGGAGATGAGATCATCGGTCTTTCTCCAGCCCTCCTTCACCATCCCTGCCATACACAGGCATATTGCACACCCCCGATCCTCCTTACATACCATCCTGTAACTTAAATCAGTTTCATAGTTAGACTATTTGTGCAGTTCAAGCCTGGAACAAGAGTAAACCATGGTGACTTTCCTCCCACAATTTGCTTTTTCCTTAGTGTCTTGATGTTTCATTTTTTTCCCTGTGGCTTCTAACCCTTTGTGCCGGCTGCACAGCTGTCTTCCTTAGACCCCCTCTCTCCATTGTTCTGGAGAGCCCTTCACCACTCTGCTGGATCTTGTTTCCTGGACCCCGTTCTTCCGCTTTCTTGGTTTACTTCCTCAGTCTGATGGGGCATGTCCTTCAATGCTTCCTGTGGAAGAGTGTGGGTGGCAAATTTTCTGAGACCAATGTCTTTGTCTCACCCTTACATTTAATTGGTAATTTGCCTGAGCTTAGAATTCTGATTTGGAAATGATTTTCCTTCAGAATCATGAAGGCATTTCCTCACTGGTTCTGGGCCCCGGTGTGGGTGCTGAGAAATCGGAAGCCTTTCTTTCCTGTTCCTAATTCTCTCAGGAAGCTCATGGGGTTCTTCTCTGGCCCGGGCTCTGTAGTTTTAATGGGCTCTAGTGTGTGCCTGTTCTCACAGCCAGTGTGCCAGGCGTGCCAACTGTCTGTGCCCTACACGTGGGGACATTTTCTTAAATTATCATATTCATTATTTCTCCCCTCCATTCTCTGCTCTTTCTGGAACTACTGTTGTCCAGATGGTGCATGCGCTGGTGGGAGCCACTGCTCCTAGTTGCTGTGTCTGCCAGGTCTCCATGGCAGAGACCTGTTTTCCATTCTCCCAGCAAGGGTTTCATGCCTGCTTTCAGGTTTTTCATTTTCAAGAGCCCTATTTTTGTTCTCCCATTTTTTTTAAAATATATAACCTGTTCCATTTAATGGATACAGTATTGAACCTTTTTTCTGTTTAATTTTTGTCTTTCATGTTAGAAGTTTTCCTCACATGTCTGCTAGTTCTTACTCGTGTGTTCATATTTAAGGGGAGGTACTTGGGGTCTGCTTTTCCAATAAATATTGGCGGCTGCCTAAATTTAATCTCTCATAATCTTCGCAACACCAGACAGACAAGGGGAACAGTCACCTGTCACCCGCACCTGCAGCGTATCTCTGATACCCAGAATAGTTCAGTGTGTCTGAAAGCAGAGCCAGCATCAGAACTCATGGAAACTGGGGGGGGGGGGGGGGTAATGGGGTCTGAGCGGCGGCAGTACATGGGGAAGGCAGGGACCCCAGCACGAGTGACGGAAACACTGGTAAATCGGACACCAGTGTGTCCAAGCCCTGGCCACCTGGGCATCAGAAGAGAAAAGGAACTTTGAAAGTTCCCAAGATTGCAGGTAGCCCTTTGGGGAAGGTGCCACTTCTGGGAGAGGGGGAGCTGTCTCATTGGGGCTTGATGGTAAAGCGAAGGAAGGAAGGAAGCAGGGGTCTTACAGGAAAACCTTCCAGACTCAGCAGGGACTCCAGCCCCTCCCACCTCACAAAGGCAAGTGTCTCTGAGACACTGCATTCCACTGTGTAACAGAAGAGAGCACTGAGTCAGAAACCCCAGAAGCCACACATGCCGCCGTCCCCTCCTCCACAGAACCAACTATGTGCAAGTGAAAGAAAATGACACCTTTCAAATGAGCAGAAAAAGGAAGACAACGTCTATAAACACTAGGCTGGGAAGAAAACAGTCAATTACAGCTCAGGAATATTCTCTCTTTTACCATAAGGCAGAAGAGAACGGGAACAGACCCAGTCTGAATTAATATCCCTAAATGGGACTTTGCAGAAATAACAATGAACACCTGAAAACATAAATTCAAAATTGCAGAACAAAAAAATGGACCGGGGGCAGGGGTGGGGGAGGGGGGACTGTTAGGAAGCTGTGAAATAAGAGTAAATGTAACTTGGCAAGGAAATTGAAAAAGACAAAATTATCTCAGATTAAATTATAAGGTGCCCAAGGGAGAATAGGAGAATAGCTGCAACTGAAAAATATAATGAAGGGCATTGAGAAAAGGTAGGAAAGCAGCCAAGAGTTCACAAGTTAGAATGGACAGACGCATGCATTCTGGTATGCTGACACAATGAAATGCCACACGGCAATGAACAATTAACAAACAATACAGTGACAACGTCATGTTGAGCTGCACTCCATCCTGTGGAGCCTGTGGTCGTGGCCATTTGAATATCTAGTGTTAAGACTGCAACTGAACAATAAGTGGGTGCATCTTTATAGACAAATCCCTGGAAACCATTTATATGTGTGTACACACACATTTATCTATTGAATTATTTTAAATGTACACAAATATATAAAAGAATCCTGTGAGGAAACAACAAATGCCCTCCCAGTTTCTTTGATGCAGATTTTCGTCTACTGTTGTTGGCCTTGGAACAACACAAGGGTTAGGAACCCGGACCCATGTTGCCTCCCTCCTGCACCCCCACCCAGCACAGTCAAAAATGACAGGTAACTTTGGACTCGCCCCAAACTTTACTACGAATAGCCTGTTGACCGGAAGCCTTAACCAGTAACAAGCAATTAACACGTATCTTGTATGTTATATGTATTATATACTGTATTCTTACAATAAAGTAAAAGGAAACATTAAGAAAATCATAAAGAAAATGTGATTTGTGGTTTTATTGAAAAAAAATCCACATATAAGTGGACCTGTGCTGTTCAAACCTGCATTGTTTGAGGGTCAGCTGTATTTAGTTTGCAAGTAACGCTTATAACCTGGAATGATTTGCATGTTAAGAGTGATCTACACAAACTTTGATTCTTCAGAGAAGCATGAAGACAGTGTTCATTAGGGTGTTTTTACAAAAGCAGATAACACGAACTTGAGAAATGCCTAATTGTTCCCTTCCCTTGGCACCAAGAATCTAAGGCTCCTGTTCTGCTAGCCTCTGATATAGAGGGCAGAGGAAGCTTCCAGACTAACCTAGAAGATACAGAGCTGCGTTAGACATACTGAAAGGAAGAGCACTGTAATTTCAGAAATAGTGGAAAAGCGTAGGTCTTGCCTTGTCTGGAAGACTTCCTGCTGGGAATTACCAGGTTTTGCTATATGTGGGTACTGGTTTCTTTCTTGCATAAGACCTTAGTGTTCAGAGTGAAAGGTGAAATAAATGCAAGCAGGGAGATGAAGGTGCCCTGTACATCGATCCTTGTTTTAACAAGCACACGCCGGCCTGGTGGGTTTCCTCTCACAGGACTCGGGATCATAGCCGATCCTTTCCTTTCTATGAATCAGAACTGGCAATTACTGCCACAGCCCTTGGCAAGTTTCTGTCTTGTCTATTCGGCTTTACCTTGCCTTCAGGTTTTTCAGAGAAATTTATCTTACCACGAGCGCCACCTGGTGTTCAGTGGACAAGAGGGTAACTTCTGGTAGGTTTAGCACCAGCCCTGAAGCAAGCAACAGCAGCTTGTTTCTGTATCACAATATTCTACATCATAAACTTGAATATGGTTCCAGAGCCACTTAAGAAGATGACTCCTTTATTTGTTATTTCAAAAGTTCTGTGACAAAGTATGTAATCACATAACATCTAATATTGTATTGGAATGTTAGAATAAAATCAAGCCTGAGCTAATCTCCACATGTTTCTGTTAATTTCAACCCTCTAGACAATTTAATTGGTAGTAATAATTGTGTATTTCACTCCATTTGGTGGAGTTGTTGTAATTAACAACAACTCCAACAAATTGCAAAAAAGGCAACGGTAGTCTCAAGGACAAAAATGGAGACAGAATAATAACAGGATGCCATTGCCTCTTGATCAAGATGAACAAACTCGGGGCCGGCCAGGTGGTGAGCTGGCTTGGGATGCCAGAGGGCCCCTGGTTCGGATCCCACATATGAGGGCCAGTGACACTGCCCTCTACAGCTAAGATGCTGAACAACAGCTCAACCTGGAGCTGGGCTGCCGTGAGTCGCCAGTAGCGGCGTAGGCTGCAGCCCCTACTGCAGTGGGTTGCCATGGGCTACCGTGTGTAGCCAGCAGCCAGCGTGAGTGGCCTGCAGCCGCCGTGAGCGGCGTCCATAAGCCAGTGACTGATCTGCCTTGCCCGGGAAGAGCGCAATGGTGGTGCCAGCTTGGGCCGGTGAAGCAACGTCCTCCACGGCTACACTGAGAAACAAAAGGACAGCAACTTGTCTGTTCCCCTTCCCCCAGTTCCCCAGCGCTGTTCCCATCCCCAACTCCCCAATAAAAATCTTTAAAAAAAAAAAGATGAACGAACTCCAATAAAGATGAACAAACTCCGAGAAAGAGAGCACAACTCTGTTCTCCCAGCCGCCCAGTGAGGTGAAGTATGTGCCCCAGCCAGGTTCACAGCTGGCACCACATTGGCAGAAACATACAGCAGCCGCTTGACACTACTTGACTTCAAAATCCAATCAGCTCTGAAAAAAATAGTGAGAGCTTTGGGAAAACAGGACGGTGTGAGGTTTTTGTCGTATTTTCCCACCCACCTTAGTTTAGAATTTCTAGTTAGGACACGTTTTTATAGTCTACAAAAGCAAGACTTCTAAATTTAGAGTTAGTTTTGCTAGATGATGTCTAACCTTGACTTTAAAATACAGAAATAAAGCCTACACCCCGCTTCCCAAAAATGGTGATAGCATTTATAAGCTGGCCCAGAATCACCAGCTGTTGTTAGAGTAGGAAATTTGCTTTAAAAGGGAAAAACATATACATACATCAACAGAACAGAAAACTATTTCTTTGATATAATAAATGACTATATGTAAATGATTAGATTTGGGACTAACAGAATTCTTACGGTGCAAGATTTTTCAAAACTTCAACACGGATTGAAGGCTTAATTCTAAATTTAACTTCAATTTTCTTGCCAGCTGACATATTTCCGTCATCACTTAACACTGGCCAACTCTTGATTTCGCACCTAAATATTTCTTAAGCCCCTCCTCTCTCTCCATCCCTGCCACTGCCTTTCTTCCTCCCAGCCACCCGCCCGAGAATCTATCCAAACACTCCTCGGATGTTCTTGACTGGCTTACAGACCTGGTCAGCCCCCGGTGCCTCACCCCACCTGAATCAAGTGTATTACTAATGACCACACAAAGTGAACAGTCTCTGCCCTCAGAATTCCGCTTAGCTTCATCCTGCCATTTTACCCCCGTTTGATACTCTGTTCATTTGGAACAGCTTAGTTCTCCCAATAGAACAGGGCAGTCTATTCTCATGCCCTTTCTGTGTTCCTTCTCTTTGCAAGGCCTTTCCCATCCTTTTCCATCAGAACTTGACTCACCCCAGAGCATCTCCCATGTTATCTCCTCCAAGAAACGTCCCCTGAAGCCTTGGGCTGAGCTGCTTGTCCTGTTCCCACAGCACTTAGCAGAAACCCATCCTAGTGGTTACTGTATTGAAATTAATCTTCTTTGTCTCCCACTGAGGCTGTACAGCTCCTGAGGACATGGACTGTCTCATTCATAGACCCAGAACCTTGTACAGTTTGGGCTCAAAAAAGGTTCAACTGCACATAGTTTGTTGATCTGAATTAGAGAAATTGCATATATTCAACATAAGACACATTTTAAGTCATTTATATTTATTAAATACTATTTTTCAACTTCATACTTATGAAATATTAAAACTTGTGAACATTCAACCAAACAGGCTAAAATGACAAGGATTGATAACAGTGCTAACAAATGAACAACTAAAACTGTCATACATTGCTGGTAGGAGCGTAAACGCAGTATTTACTAAGGCTACCCATAAACACACCCTGTGACCCGGCAATCCATTCCTGGGTATATGCCCAACAGAAAGGACAAGAAGGTTCTTGCAGCATTGTCCTTAATAGCCAGCCCCAACTGGGAATAATTCAAATGTCTATTAATTTTAGAACGGAAGTGTAAACTTTGGCAAATTCACAAATACTCCAGAACAATGAAAAGAAGCAACACATAACAAGATACTATTTTCTGAGGTTCAAAAACAAGCTAAGCTAACCTGGGGTGACAGATGAAAGTATCTTTTGGGGTGGTGGGTGCTGTGTTGCTGACATGTGCTCTGCCTCATCAGGGAAGCAGTCACACAGGACAACACCACACACTGCAGATCTCTGCACCTTATACGTCATGTGGCACCAAAGTTAAGAAAACTGTGAACTCAGTAAGATCCTGGGATATAGCAACATGTTAGAGGTATGGCCACAAGACAAAAAGTCAATGTATAAAGTATGGTCCCTTTGCAGTAACAAAAGAATTTTTAAAAAATATTGTTAAATGCACAAATGATATTTCTTTAATTATAATGGTTTCAACTTTGGCTTAGGTTCCTACTAGTGTTCCTAGATAATGTTCCTGTGAGGTAAACCAGGCAACTCTGTTGTTATGTAGACCAGTTACTTCGCACCAAGTTTTAGCCACTCATTTTGCTAAATTTTGAGAAAATAGCTAAACTCTGGTCTACAGAATTATAGTGGTTATGTTACTAGTAATATTGCAGAAGACATTTGTTTTACTCTACTCTTTATCTACTTTAACCTAAAATCTGCCACCAAAGTGAAACAGAAAATTCTTTAAAATATATAAAATGTATTTCCTGTTAAGATTTTGGGGAACAAACTTAAAAATTTTTTTAAATACCTGAGAACCCTAAAACAGCTATATACTTTGTACTCTAGATATTTTTGGTTAATGTGCCTCACACCATGAATATTAACCGTACTGGGAATGAGTTCTAATATTAATAAATATTCAATTTAACCAAATATTTAATTCATTATTTTGAAGAAAGCATACAAAAAGATTAACAGATCAAAACACCTTTAAAATAAAAAAAGAACAAAAGTGTCTAAAAATTATACATGTAAACTTGCAGAACGAACTCTGAGCTACAGTATATGCCAGGCGAGAGTGAGTGTAAACACTGCACCTTCTGACAATAGCTCCCATTCCAATCTCATGTATGTGTATATAAAATAGAATTGTATTGGTTACAGGAACTAGATTATAACCTACAAATCTTAGTATGAACCACAACTTCCTGAGTGACTGATACAATGCTAGTGAGGTTAAGACTGGTGGCATGTGAGACCCATTTTTTTTAAAAGATTTTCTCAGACGTTGATGCTATCGCATTCAAGGCACCAATCTAAGTGCTCATTAATCTGAGACTCCAACATGTCACTCTGACAGATAGGACAGCTGACCATTTGGCCCTGAAGGGATGAACTGCTGGAATTCTGAGCTGCAGTTGCGGAATGAGAACTACACTTTGGATCATTACCACCAATCTGTACTTGCTCATTCTTGATTAAAAAATCATCAAATACAATCTTGTCTTCTAGCCTGCGTCGTTTACTTGGGGATTCATATTCAGGCGCACTCGCACCCAGGGATGCAGTCCCAGAGGTTGAGTCCACTGCTTGGAAAGAATTTCTCAGCGACACCTTGGAAGATGAAGCTCTTTGAGAGCTAGAAGAGACGGGCATTTTACTGATGTCGCCCACAGTTAGGCTTTTCCCTGAAGATCCATTCACACTTCTCGAAGCTTTTTGATTGGGACCTGATACTGTAGGAAAATAGTTGCTTAAAACATTTTGGTGACTGGTATTAAGAGCAGCGGAGACTATAGGAGTTTTTTTACTTGAACCATTCTGTTCAAATTTCACTTGAGTTTTAGAATTAGGTCTTCCAGCATTTGCTGAATGGTCTTGACTTAAAAGCTGTTGAGTTTTACTAGCAGCGTGTGAAGTGATCAAGTTCCCAGATGAATTGTTTGTTTCTCCTAGAACATATCCTTTCCCACTAAAAGGGATTAATAGCTGTGTCTCACCTCTGCTGGGTTTATCTGCAAAAGAGGCAAATAAGATTTTTCCTTGACTCAAAATTACTACAGTAACAAATGTTAAAGGATAGTTTTTCAAAATGAAAAATGCTATTTTAGTCTAACTTCGATCCACATAACTACCTACTAATGAAAGACAATCTTTATAGTCAGAGAGCTCTGGTATTGAAAACATCAAGGACAAAAAGCACCCTCATATTTAGATAAGGCGTTCTACCACGCAAAGACCAACAGCAAAGTAACTTCACCTTGAAATTCGCTTAGTCTTCTTCAGCTTTAGTTCCAGGAGGGGAAATCGGCTGCACGTCTCACCCTCCTCACGTCAATGAGGACAGAGCCTCTCCACTCAATTCTTCTCTAGCTCCTTAACTGAACACTTGGGATTTGGCAAACTGAGTTCCGGGGTCCCAGCACACCCAACAACTTCCCAAGGGAAAAGCATTAACTTTAGTAACCTGGATACCTCTTCAAAAGACAGGAACTCTCAACTTCATAGGAAAGGGATAAATCTTGAAGATGAAGTACTAGCATATACGTGTCATATCCTTTTCCCATTCTTCTCCCAATGAAAATACATCAATAGAAGAAGTCACCTGGCTACAGTCCAACTGATAGGAAGGGGTGTAGTGAGGACTTACGTTCCGGGTATTGTAATTTGAATTATTTTTATTTTGACAATCTTTTTGCCTTCTGTTTCCTAATGACTCACTAAGTCAAGATAGGGAAAGCGACTTTACCCTCAAACATCAGTGGGAACGATTTCTGCTTTTACTTCCATCTGCCATCATTTCACGGACAGTGGGATTTTTCTCTTAAGCCCACACCTGAACACCTACACTAGAAACACTCCCCAAGCTTCTCTTAATACCAGTTCTCTAAAGGACAGAGCTGTCTGTACACAGCAGCTGTGGTCATGGGTTACCTTTATTCTTGGCTGCGGCTGTGGCTGCTGTGGCTGCGGCTGCCACCGGCTGCTTTTTTGGTTTTGTCTTTCCTTTGCCTTTCTTTGAGTAGTTCTCTGGTTCCTTGACTTTTATGAAAGTGCCTCCACAGGTCTTCTGGTGCTCGGCCCACCAGTGGTCGTGCACAGAGGGGGCCCTGTTGGTAGCACGCTTGATGTAGCCGTAATAGGGCTTTTTGGACTGACATGGCCCATCACAGCGCCACCAATGTCGCCGGTACTCATCTACCTCATTATGGAAAGAGTGGTACACCTGGTTGGGAGAGAGTTTAGCACTGAGTAGGCAAGCTAACCATCTTAAGAAATTATATAAGCAGCTTTTTTTTTAACTTTCCAGTTTCCCAGAGCTTTCTGCAGTTTTATTTTGGAGAAGACAACTATATTTAGCTTCTGTTCCAAAGTTCATTTTAATGAGAAACATTAGATAATGTAATAATACTTCATAAACTATAAAAATAGAAACATTTGAGACTAGAAGACAAAGTGTTTTTTAAAAACAAAAAGCCATATAAACTAAAAGTTTTAGAAAACAAATTTTTAAATGATCAAAAATTAGGATACAGATTTTGTGCAATGCCCTGAACAGGCCTGCTCCCGTGCTCAGCTGGAGCTCTCCCCTGCAGGAGCCACGAAGGCGCTGAAGGGCTGTTTCCTTCAGCGCTGGGCTCTTGCCTCACGTGGCCTCTGCTAGGCCCGCTCCCCAGCTCAGCTCTTTGTAATAAGCCTGTGGGGAACCATCTCATCTGTTTATAGGCAAAACGTTCTCCAGAATTCCAGTATTTCCGTCTTTGCATCCCTAGTGCCTCATGCAGGTTGGCACAGTGGAGGTGCTCCATAAGCACTTGCTGACAGAGAATGAAAGCTTCATTCACCGAGTCCAATCAATTCTATGTAAATGTGCTTTCCCTCCTTCAACAGGATCCTTCTGTTTCTCCCTCTCAATGAAGTCTTACACAGAAGAGTTCTGACTGAGAGGAAGGTGAGCCCTCCCACCTTGGTGGCACTGAGGATGGCAGGGCACCACTGACACACTGATTCTCCTAAATGACCACAAGTACCTTTTCTTTTGGCTTCTCAGTGGGGCATTACTATGGGTATAAGATCAGAAGCATCTGTATGTGAGATTTTTTTTTTTTTACCAAAGACATTTAACTTTCTAATAAATTCCCCTTGAGGGAAAGAATGCTAAACTTTCTGTAACTCTAAGATAGTTTTATACTCACTATCTCCATCATAAGCAAAAAAATTCTATTACTTGCAAGCATGCAAACAATGCACATTCTATTAGGTACAGAAAGGCTGGGGGACAGAGGTATGCAGGCAGAAGTATGTGACACCCTGCTTCTGTCTCATGCTGAAACCTCTGCTTGGAGGAATTGCTGCCAGTTTCTGTAACTCCCATGGCCAGGAGATTTGACTTTTTAACAATGTAGTCACTAAAATAAAATTGTTCTGCAGTGTGAGGCTGGATGCCCTGTGGAGTTCGTTATAACAGGATGTAATCTGAAAAAGCAAGGGGTCTGCCCTGGAGCACATGTCCCCTAAAAAACACACAGGCACCCACGATAAGAGAATAGTCTCTCCTCCCGCTGAACAGGGATTTTGCCAGGACCAGGCATGAAGCGCGAATTCTAAGGAAGAAACACAGAGCCTTTTATACAGGCAACTCCACAATTCTTTTGCTAATCTGGATTTTATGTGATTGTTTTTAATGCAAGCCACTTTCCTGATGTTGAAGTGACTATCTACTAATTAAACGAGCTCTCTGGAAAGTTAATGCTGACAGCTAGAAAAATACAAAGAGGAGGGCCGGCCGAGTGGCGTGGTGGTTAAGAGCTGGCTTGGGACGCCAGAGGGCCCCGGTTCGGATCCCACATATGAGGGCCAGTGACACTGCCCTC